TTCCACAATACTGGGCCCTTCCATCTGCAACTCGGCGCCCATCCAAAAACAAACAGACGCCGAGACACTCGGTGGAACGCTTGGAAATGATGCTGCATCCTGGGCAAGGCCGAGATCTGTCCCATCAAGACTCCGACGACCAGCTGGCAGTCCGAGACGATGGCAAACTGCATGGCGGAACCCTCCCGCTCCAGAGGCTCGTCCGTGAAGCCGTCCTTGGTGTTGGCGGCCGGCAAGTTCTGCGAGGTATGCTTTTCCAACTTCGGACGTTTTGAGCTGGCGGCTCAGACTGTTGCGCCTGGGCGTCGCACGTGGTACGTAGCGCTGGCAATTCCCGCAATCGGCAGACTCTCGACAGAGGGCCGGAAACGACTGCATCCAATCCCGCTCGCAACTGGCTGATTCCCGCTGCGAACGCCATTCGAAGCCCAAAAAGTCGCATAGCAAATCCTCCCATAGCGTAGATGTTCCTGGCGCTTGTACGACGGAAGAGGCGCACGTGCTTGATGGATTCCCACCAAAATCTGCGTCGGAACAGCTGGACAATACCCAAGATCTTGCCTCCTCCGGGTGCGTTGAGGGAGTTTTCGCGGCAAGCGCTCTTGATTACACTTTTCATGGCATTCGCATATACAAGGTTTACACTGTATTTATCCATCCACGCCTTGATCTGAGCTGAAGTACGGACATTGTGAGCAAAGCTGCACCCATCAGGCGCCCGTCGCATATTGAAGAGTTTCCGAAGGAAAATCCATTCCCACGGGTGCAATCGGACCACGAGACTTTTGGATATATGCCAAGATCCCGCGCCAAGCAATGGGGATGCCACAGGCTCCGCAGTCCAAGCACGCAAATTTGCTTGCCGCCGATCCCAGCACCTTGAAGACGAGAAGATTGCTCCAGAAAACGGCCTCGATGTTTCCCAGCTGGTGTTCCGCTGACGTGCGCGCTTGGTCCTGCAAATTCAAGTAGACTCCCGAGAGGACCGTGCTCTCGACAACTGCTATAGCCAAAGGTTCCGGCTCGCCGGGGGAAGGACCACGAAGGCATCGACATCAACACTCGCGCCCTCCAAGGCCCCGCAAAACATGCATTCTAGATAACATGGCTTCCACGCGAATTCCTCCTGGCTTTTGGCAAGAAGTATGAAATTGCCCGCCAAAAGCACATGCGTTAAGACATGCACTCCCGATTCAGATTCTGTTGAAGTCCCAAGCCTTTGGACCAGCGCTGAAGGAGTGCCTCCAACATGCATTCGACCATGAAATCAAATAGCTCTGGATTCTCTGTTCCGACCCGCTTCCCTCCTGAATGTACTCGGAACCTCTCAGTTGGCGCCGTGGCAGAGATAGCCATGCAGCATTCAAGGAAAGGCATTTCCCTCATGATAGCCTGGACGAGGAACTGGTGCATGCCACGGGCCGTCAAAGATGTTGTACGCGATGGCGTCGAAGGCCGTCTTGATGTCCAAGACACCGAGAGCAAACGGCATCCCCTATTGCCGAGCTATATCGACACAGCTTGTGTTACGATGGATACTTGATATTTGCCACGCCCGCTCCTCTGAAAGAGGAAATCGCAAAGAAGTCGACGAGAGCTGCAATCTCTCCGCGACCATACCCGTAAGGGAAGATGGAGGAGGAGGAGGAGGAGGAGCAGGAGGAGGAGGAGGGGTTGGGGGAGGAGGAGGGGGCGAGGAGGAGAAGGACGAGGAGGAGGAGGAGGAAGAGCAGGAGGAGGACAAGAGTAAACCCAAGATGCACCTACGATGGTGCAATACACCCTCCTGTCCCAAGTCCCCTCATCAGAAGTTCCTACAGGCCTCCTTTCCACTTGAAAACGCGCCCATTTAGACGACCAGCACCCTATGGGCCTACCATTCAGGCGAGAACCCCGTACTGCCTTGCATCCTTCCAGTAGGAATGAACGCACGAAGGTATGATCATACAGTTCAAAGGACTGTCCGAAGAGATCCCCGTTTTGAAAAAGGACCGCCCCCATCTGTGCAACTCTGGCACGGCTTTTCACTTATCGCCATGGGCGCCGACGAATGCTCAAGCGAACGGCCCACTTTGAAAAAGAGCCACCCTTCATCCGCGCAGCTGTTGCATCAGTTCAAGCCTCTGGTCTTTGAAAATACGATAGTATCCAGCGAAAGCCCCATGCTGAAAAGGAGCCACCCAGAACCCTTGCAACTGCTGCAACCGCTGAAGGCGAATGCGCGCGGCGCTGAGGCAAGAATCACATTTTGAAAACGGCCCCCCTCCATCGGTGAAACTGTTGCAACTTGTAAACTTCAGCATCATACACGGTGAGGAAGTCTGAAGCGAAACGCCTGGCCCGCCCTACGGACACGTCTGGTGGTGCGACAGGGGGGGTTATGCACAAGGAAAAGGAGTGGAGGAGGCGGAGGGGGGGAGAAGGGGAAGAGAGAGGGGAAGGGGAAGCGCCCAGTCGTTGTGAGGGCAGGCTTGTCGCGCGGCTCAAAGGAGGAGGACGAGCAAGGGGCACAGAGGACGAGGGACGAGGGCCGGGGGACGGGGGACCTGGGGCAGGGGACGGGGGGCAGGAAGAGGAGGACTCCGCAGGGAGCCCTCCTCCCCGGCGGCGGCGGAGGTGGCTCCGCTGCGCCACCCGCTGAGGCGAGGGGCAGACTGGAATCGTCTCGAGTCCGCACACTGCGGCGCGCCGATGCCTGATCCCACCAGGCCAGAAAGGCCACACCAGCACGCTGGCCCCTCCGGGCCAACGCACGGCCGCCTCTGCCAACAGCGGGCACGAACGAGAGAAAGCTCGAGCCGACGCAGCGAGGCTCGAGGAGCAGAAGGCGGCAGCGGTCGAACGCCACGCCCGCCGGAGCGGCCCCGGGCAGCACCTGAGGCGAAGGCCCGCGCCCGCAGACGAGCCCGCAGCGCTGCCACCCGAGCCCTCAGCGGGCCCCCCATTTAGGCCACTGAAGGCTGCAGTGTGCTGGGCATCGGCTCCTCGGGGCCTGGAGGCACGAGGCAGCTGCCTCGGCCTGGAGGTCCCGCGAGCGCTGCCTGGGCGAGGACGTGCGGGCAGCGGGGGAGAAGGGGGACGGGCTGGGGAGCAGGCAGGAGGGAGAGGGGAGCGGGGAGCAGGGAGCGGCAAAGAGGGATGCGGTGCGATGCGATGCGACCACCGTTGCGGACAGCGTCCGGGCCTACTCAAGACCGGGTGGGCGAGGCCGTGGCCTCGGGGATCTGGCGTGTCTGGACAACATGCAACGCGAGACAATTGCGCCCCAAAAAAAGAGGGACGGAGGGAGGATGGTCCTTGGGGTCGGTCGTGTCAGCCTGTGTGGGAAGAAAGGAAGGGGGGAGGAAGAGGAGGAAATCCTTGGTGTCGGTGTCGACGTGGGATGTCTCGCTGGGCGCTCGCGTCATTGGCTTCGGTTCTGTGTGTCTGCAGGAAGGAAGGAGGAAAGAGCGGCGGGGCAGAGAGCGGGAGCAGAGAGCACGGAGGAGAGAACAGAAAGGAGGTACCCTCTCCTGATCCCGCTTCTCCTCTCCGATCCCCCATCACCATGTGGCCTCGGACCCTGCACAGTCTTCACCCACCATGACCCCTCCCCCCATGCCGTCGCTCTTGAGCTTGGCAACGGAGGTGTCGAGGGGACAGATCTCGCTGAAGACCTCCAAAAGCAGAGGAGGAGGAGAAGGAAGAGCAGATGACCGTCCGCGGGCCTGGACCGCAGGTGGGGGGCGGCGAAGGAAGAGGAGGGGCGGGAGGGAGGGAGGGGAGGGAGAGCTAGGCTAGGAGTGCCACGGGGCCAGTCCTCAGAAAGGCTGTGTCCTGGCGGCGGCCTTCGGGGGACCCGGGACCATAACCCCAACGCCCAAGGGTCCGCCTTGGTGATGGGGGTGGGGACCCACTCGGGTGCCCCGGGGCTTCTTTAGGGAGGGAGGAGGAGGACGAGGAGTAGGGTAGGAGTAGGAGTAGGAGGAGGAGGAGGAGGAGGAGGAGGAGAAGGAGGAGGAGGAGGAGGAGGCAAGGGAGGAGGAGGAAGGAGGAGGAGGAAGGAGGAGGAGGAAGGAGGAGGAGGAGGAGGAGGAGGAAGGAGGAGGAACAGATGAGAGGAGGAAGGAGGAGGAAGAAGAGGGAAAGAAGAGGAGGAGGAGGAGGAGGAGGAGGAGGAAGAGGAAGAGAAGAGGGAAACGGAAACCGAGGGCAAGAGAGGGAAGTCTGGCTTTTACATGTACCTGGCGCGCAGCGGGGCCTCTGGAGACCTCCAGAAGGCCTCCAGAGACCTCGGGGCGGAGGAGGACGAGGAGGAGGAGGACTAGGAGGAGGAGAAGGAGGACGAGGAGGAGGAGAAGATTGTCCATCTCTACCCCCCTCTCGATCATTATTGCGAGTTGGACCGATGCTGGCCATCGCTGCTACCCTTTTCCTGCCTCGGCCTTGCTGCCTCTCCTACCGCGAACGTTTGTATGTGCGGACACCTCAGACGTTCGTCTTCAGGGCTGTGGGAAGAAGGAGGGGGAAGGTGGGAGGAGGAGGAGGAGGAGGAGGAGGAGGAGGACGAGGAGGACGAGAAGGAGGATGAGGAGGAGGAGGAGGAGGAGAACGAGGAGGAGGAGAACGAGGATGAGGAGGAGGAGGAAATGAGGAAGAGGAGGAGTAGGAGGAGGAGAAGAAGGAAAAGGAGGAGGAGGAGGAGGACTCTGGACGGCCTGGAGGCCCAGTCCTGCCCCTGGTGGGCGTCCCACTGGGCGAGCCGCTGCCGCCCGGCAACCTGCCCGCTGCGGGCGACGAGCTCAGAGTGGACCTGGGAACGACGGCCCTCGCCGCTGACCGCTGCGCGGAGACAGCGAGCCGGGCTGCGATGCTGCTGGGCAAGCTGGCGCCGCTGCCGACGCAGGCCTGGCCGGCAATGCAGGCGGCCAGCCTCCTCCAGCACTGCGGGACTGCGAGCTCACGCGCCTCCTCCGCACGAGCCCGCCAGCGAGCTCGCGGGGCCGCCGCTGCCACCTGCGACCAGGCAGCGCTGGCTGCCTGCCTAGGCCTGGCGGACTGGGGCCCTCTCACGGCCGCGCAGGAGAACCAGCGCCGGCCGCCGCTGCGGCGGGGAAGCCGCGGCCTCCGGAGCCAGGCCCAGCCCGCCGACGCCGCTGGGGTGGCGTCGTCGGGCGCCAGAGCGCCGAGCCCGGCCGCCGTGCAGGGCCGGGCGGGCCTGCTGGAGCTGCTGGGCTCGGAGGTCCCCGCCCTCCCTCTCGCCCGCGCGGCCTCTGCCGCCCTGGCAGGAGCTCGCCCGGGAACCTCGAGGGAACCCCCCAAAAACGCTCTCGCGAGGGCTTGGCCAAAGGAACTACTACGAAGCCTTGATGAACGGCTCGGATGCCCAGGAGGCACGGGCGCTGCAACGCGCCTGCGGCGGACCGCACGCTGCGGGCTGGCAGCTGGCCACAGGCGCCCGCTGGCAGCGACTGAGCGACCTGGACCAGTGCGACAGGGCGAGGGCGCTGCTCGGCCAAGACAGCGCGCCGCCGGGGAGCTGCTGCCAGAACCGCACACGCACGGGGCCGCACGCTAGCCAGCCCTGCAACGAGCCATTTTGCGGCCAAGTGCAGCACGCCTACCGCTACGCCTGCGGGGGAGGCACGAAAGCGCGCTGCTGCGACGTCGAAGACGTGTGGGAGAGCATCCACACGGACTGTGGCTTCCGCGCCGAAAGGCAGGTGCGTGTCCCCGCCTGGGACCGCTGGCAGTGGAGCTGCACCGCAGGCGGCTGCGACGCGCGCGGCTGCGCTTTCGCCCCGCCAGGAGGGCCCTGCAAGGCCTGCGGGCTGGCCCACCCGGCGACGCGGGAGGAGGGGATCGTCGACCTCGAGGCGCAGCGGCCAAGGTGCCCCTAGCTCTTCGCCGACGTCATTGGTGCGGCACGGCGTCCCCAGCGCGGAGAGCGCGCACTGAACGACGCGGCGGCGCGCGACGGCGCCGTCGCAGAACAAGCGCAGGCGCTACCTTGAGGGGCGCGCCGGTTGGCCCGCCCTCCCCCTGGCACTGGAGACGGGAGGCTGGCACGGCCCCGCGGCACTGAGGCACCTGCGCTGGCTGGCCCGCGAACGGGCGCCGCGGCTGCTCGGCGACGCCGGGCCTAGGCGGCGGGCGGGGGCGCTGGCCAGGCGCGCGTACCTTTGCAGGTGGCCTGCGCCCAGCACCTGCGCAGCGCACTGGCGCTCTCAGCCGGGAGCACGCGCGGGCACGCCGCCCTGGCCGAGGAGCTAGCCGGCTGTCGGCGCTGCCCAACCGCTGGGCCGGGCAGGCGGGCTGGGCACGCGGGGGGCGGTGGGGGTGGCTCGTCTCGGTGTTCGTGCTGATCAGTGCGGGCGACGTTCTGACAGTGCTCGGCGCTCGCAAGAACAGGGGGAGAAAAAAAAAGGAGGAGGAGGAGGAGGAGGAGGAGGAGGAGGAGCTGAAGAAACAAAGAAGAGAGGGAGCACAAAAAAGGTCGTCGTGGGCATTGTCATGTGGCGACGAATCGACGACACAACGGAAGCACGACGCGAAACTTGTGGACCAGCGAGGTCCAACTAGCAGTGTTTCATGTTGGTTCGAAACTGAAGATTATCCTGGCGAAAGACCCAACCAGATGCAGCTGTGGGTACCGCAATTGTGAAAATCTTCTTCGGTGAAACTCCTTATGGGGCCACGAAGCGCTGCACTGGGTGGGGGGGGGACGCTGTTCTGGGTGAGTGGTGTGTCAAGTAAGGTTTCCGGGACGCATGCGGACGGTCCCATTGGGGGCTTCGGTGGAACTCCCTATGGGGCCACGAAGCGCTGTACTGGGTGGGTGAAAATGCCAAATTGAGCTTCCGGGACGCACGCGGACGGTCCCACTGGGGGCTTCGGTGGAGCTCACTAAGGGGCCACGAAACGCTGCATTGGGTGGGTAAAAATGCCACGTTGGGTTTCCGGGACCCATGCGGACGGTGGCACTGGGGCCTTCGGTGGAGTTCCCTACGGGGCCACGAAATTCTAGGCTGGGTGGGCGAAAATGCCACACAATGGGTTTTCAGGACGCTTGCGGACGGTCCCACTGGGGCCTTCAATGGAGCTCCCTGTGGGGCCACGAAACGCTGCACTGGGTTGGTGAAAATGCCACATTGGGTGTGCGGGACGCATGCGGACGGTGGCACTGGGGCCTTCGGTGGAGCTCCCTGCGGGGCCACGAAACGCTGCAATATGTGGGTGAAAATGCCAAATTGGGTTTCAGGACGCACTCGGACGGTCCCACTGGGGGCTTCGGTGGAGCTCCCTATGTGGCCACGAAACGCTGTACTGAGTGGGGGGGGCGCATGTGGACGGTAGTGTAACCTTCGGTGGAACTCCCTGTGGGGCCACGAAACGCTGTACTGAGTGGGGGGACGCATATGGACGGTGGCACTGGGGCCTTCGGTGGAGCTCCCTATGGGGCCACGAAACGCTGCACTGAGTGGGGTGGACGCATGTGGACGGTGGCACTGGGGCCTTCGG